TGGATATGCGACATAGCGCATATGCGCAAACAAGTCATGAACGGCTGCGACAGCGGCAGACGGGTTGGCGCCAGACAACAAGCTAGACTCCCGAGATAAATCTAGGTAGGCCTTCATAACATGCGCATAACCAGCTTCAGACGGTAGGATTCCTTGTGCCTCGAATTTGTGAATGAGATCCTGGGTATCTTTAACGTGCTCGAAGGATTGCTTTTTCCTAGAGTGTAGATAAACATAGATCAGTCGTGATATACGCTCCGGAGTAAGAGGATATCCAACTTCAATCGAAATAAGTGCTTTGTGAAACAACAATGAGGGAAACTCACGTTCTGTCAGCTTATCACTAAAAAGTGTAAACTTATCGACGTTCAATAAAAATTCATGCTCCAGCAAGCGCAGGTCCAGGTTTTCGACCAATCTTGTACCGTATTTCTACTAGAGGGTTATAATATTTTAAACCATAGAATCATGCTTTTACGCACCATCATAAGATCTAGCGATTTGAGCCCGTATTCTACGTCCCCAGCATCAAGCTACGTGCGCGTTAACCACTGTAGTAAATCAGCTCCAACGCACATACGGCAGCTTTGATGATTGCTTCCCACTCGGAGTCCAATACAAGTCCAAGTTTTGAGAGATCAGTCTTGTCAACAGCAATGAATGTCAAAGCTCGTTCCAGATAATCGACCACAAGCTTGTAGGTACGTTCGATCTCGTATTCTATATTGAATCGTTCCTGTAATTCACGCAGAGTATCACCAGAAGGATCCGCTGAGGTAGACGAGAGTTGCAACGGAGAGTATGAAGCAAAAAGATCATCGTAGAGTGCTCGAAGTTGTTTATCGGTGTATTGGGGCAGTTCGTAGTCCTTTTGAAAAAGGTCACTAAAGATTTTGAAGGGGCGACGGAATGCTTACATCCTGCGTCACGGTTATTTTATGCACCGTACCTCGTTGAACGGCCATCGATGCGTTCATCCTGTATTGTATAGTCTTTGGACATTTGAAACACCGAGCAGCGAATACAAATTTCGATGTATGAGCATCAAGTACGCGGCAGTTTCTACATAGTGTTCGAATGGCAGCCACGTAGGTCATATTCGAACTTGTGGTGGAAGAGCAGAAGGCTCTGATGCGCCCAATGCCAATTTTAAGAAGGGTCCATGCTACGTAATGTGGCCATTAGTGGCTGTGCATCCCCACAATCTTGTTAGTTGCACCTCATTGGCTTTACCACTTTAGCTTAACACAAGCGGAGACTCGTGAAATAGACGAAGCTCAGTAGTGAATATCATTTCAGCTACAGGTTTATACAAATCTATACGGACGCTATCTGGAGAGCTGGACATGACCATTAAGCAACCTGTCTACTATTCGGCACTCCTATAACTCAACTTGGGTATCGGCTACATTCTGATACCCAAAAGTGTACTAAATCTCAATTTAGACATAATAACTCGGCTTGGGCTCCTAAGGAACTGATAAGTTGTACGTGCCTGGGTCTAGCTCAAGCGAACTCGAGGCTTTATATATGAATCAGCGCAGTAAGGGCGATAAGAAGCCCATTAACGATCCACAAAGAGAAAATGGATATTAAGCTAACTCAAATTGGCTAGCCTAATCCTCTTAACGTCTTCAAGTTGTTCTTGTAGGCTATGTGCGTCTTTATGTCGTCGACGTCTAATACGTCTATTTAATTCAAAACACCTCGAATCCCCAAGCATCAGCCCCGGTCAAACTTGCGGTATAGTTTGACATCAAAAATTCATTCTTTCTCATTTTGTGCTCCATGCGAGTCTTTTGGACTGTCAATCGACATGAACCATGTAACCGGGCCAGAAGGTGGAAGGGAAGTGCTGAGCGCCATCCACCTTTCGGGGACCTCCGAATAAGGCAAGAGTTGGATATTTATATGGCGGAAGGGGCGGTCGCAATAGTAGCAAGGAGCCGTATCCGAATGATCTCTTGCAGGCTACAAGTGAAATTTAGCCCCATGTATGCGCCATACCTGGATCGACTCGACGCACTCAAGAGTATCCGGTAGCGTTTATTGCACCGTCAATCCATTCACTTGGTCTTTAGTAGTCGACGAAGAAGATCAGACGGGATACAATCAGCTATTTTCCCGCTTCAATTTCCTGTCTTGGCACAAGGAGGTTCCTCGCTGGCTTGCAGGCTTGGCGTGTTGCTCTCCAGTTTAGTCACATGATCTATGTCGATCAACAGCCTGCGACACTCGGATAGAGCAGACAAAGTTAAAGTCCAATTACCTTATATGCATATACACAATGTGCACGATATGCATCTGAGGGGTCGTAGGTTGGATCGGGGGGTTTTGATATTTGTCAATGTTGGATTAACCTGTCTGGTACTGAACAAGCCCGGATGGTCTAGTGGTATGATTCGCCCTTAGGGAAGTAACACGTAATCAAATCAATGCTTACGTAATGCTTACGTATGGGCGAGGTCCCCAGTTCAATCCTGGTTTCGGGCCATGCTTTTTGGACACCTTCCAGAGCCCAAATCACTGCTCTCCTGGCTGAGAACGCTTCAGATACTGAAGTCCCGATTCTAGAAGAATTCAAACCCTTGTTGAAGCTATTGTAAAAAAAAAATCATATTAAATGTAATATATAGCAGAGTTACAGCTAGTACATCTTGAAGCTCAAAAACTTCAGTATTTACCTTGTGAGTTGGGTTAAAACGCCTACCTGGTTGGTTGTTGAGAGTTTTTGCCCCCAGAGTTTGCCCCCAGAGTTTGCCCCCAGAGTTTGAAGAAGCACACACGCACTTCAGTGCACACACTGAGCTCAGGTAGATCCTGCTATAACCGTAAAATTAATCGCATGATAGCTTGAGCAGTGGTGCTGAGAATGACTTCTCATGGAGCATGTACGGTCTATATATGCGCATATAATCTAATCATTCTCGTGTACCTACATTAAGCGCCCACCACTTCACTTGCTCATTAGGTATAAGTTAATTAGCTGTCCTTAGGTGGGCAGGGAGCGGCCTGAAATACCTGTGTCTAATAACCCAATGGAGAGCCCCGCGGACAATTGGAACGGGATCCATGGTTGTCACATGGCGGCTAGCGCAGTAGCACCTGCTCGGATGTACATCCC